TGAAATCATGAAAAAGGGAAAGCCAAATACAGAGTTCTCCAAATTTAGCTTTGGAGGATTGACAATAAAATTTGAACTGTCAGTAGTGAATTCATAGATTGAGATAGCTTATACCAACCCAGTTGGTACTTAATTTTCTGGCATGAAGAGTACCATTATTGCAGTTACTAACAGGTAATTAACAGGTCATGGATGACCTATTGAGTATCAATCTATTTATTGCTGCTTGCTTTATTGTGAGCCCCCTCAGCATTTAAGGCCTCAATCCTCAGTATGGTATTGATGATTATAGAAGCAGACAATCCTTCTTTCTTTTACATTTTTAGTGATGTTATGAGCTGTTTGTAATAAAGAGCATTCATATATAGAAAAAAACTTTTACTTTAGTTTATATCACATAAGTTATTTGTAATGCAAACAGATGGCTTTCTGATTGCTTAGAATTGTTACAAACAAAAATGGTCTTTTGTACTGATTTATCACTGTAAAAAAAGGAACCATTGGAATATAGTTCTTACACAGCTCATCTTGGCCTGTTGGTTGAGAGCTTATGCTTCCAACTAAGAGGTCTTGGGTTCGAGTCTTTGTGTATGCGTTGTGTGTGTGAGTTTGCCTTAAATGACCTAAATGTTTCAAAAAAAAACTATAGTTTTTTTTTTTTTTTGGTATTATTCACATAAGTGTCCTTAAGTGTTAACTCTTATAGATATACAACCTTAGTTGGTAGAGATTGAGAGTTATATCTTAATTTATATGAAGATTTTGCATACTCTTAGATAAAAGAGTGATGAAATTGCATTGAATTTGTAACATCCAAAATTTTTAAATATTGAGATATTGTCTGCTTTAGGCTAAGGGCTTCGCGGTTTTATCATGTTGGTGTAACTTCCTAGGAGGTCACTCTTCTCAAAATTTCTCTGGGATGAGCATGCTTAACTACTGAGTTTCTTAATGAAATTCTAACCATTACATGAAAAGGCATTCAATGTTTAAGAATTTAGCTTCTTTTTACTTGAGGGGTTTCATAAAACCAGATGATACATAGATTTCTTTTTTGATGAGGTGAGCAGTAGAGTGCAATTTGTTAGAAATTAATATATTCATGTGTTTAGTAGAGTGCAAATTGTTAGATTTTTTTTTTTTTTTTGCTAAAAACAATATCAACAATTGAATACCTCAAATAATTGTCAATTATTATAAAATCATACTTTTCTTCTCCTAAACTAGTAGTACTAATAAGTTCAAATAAATTCATGTGATGAAATTCTAATAACCTAGTGGTTATCACTATATTTTTATTCTCAAAACTCTTTCTAGAATGCTAGTCTAAACAATGCATTACACATTCTTAAAACTCTTTCTAGAATGCTTAGTCTAAACAATGCATTACACATATGATCAATCATGAAATGAATTCTAGGTTAACCATTTAATATGTATAGTTTTTTTAAATCTTATTGAGTGTGCGCTTGCTTAGATGAGATAGGCTCTTATTCAACTAATTAAGCATCATTTGTGCATAATTTTAAACATAAAAGGTTTTTATTATTATCAATATTATGAAGATCAATCAAAAAAATATTATATATATATATATATATATCATCAATAATTAAAGTATTATCATTTGCTCTACTTATACAATATGATATATATTAAATGTAATATGAAATCATTTATCACAAAATTGTCCAATTGATATTCAATTATACTTTAAACTAGAACCTAATAAAACTTCATCAATTATAATTGAATTCTTACCAATTGATCCAATGCCTAAAATTTTTCATTTTTCATTACTTGCACATGTAAAAACATCATCTATCTCTAAATTTTAGAGATGCAAATTTAGATTGATCTCCAATCATATACATCGTAAATCATTGTCGCATCACAAAGCAAAAATTTTGATTATGTCTTCAATTAACTAAAAGCTGGTTATATGATCATGTCCCTACATCGGCTCCATCAGCCCACATAAATCATGACCAATTGAAGCAATCGATAAGAGAATGATGGTGGTGTGGTGATGACAATCTATGATAATATTTTTGAATGGATATGAGAAAAAGATGATTATGTGAGCTATAATTTAAAAAAAAATGCAAGATCAAATTTAGGGTCATAGAAAATTGTGAAATCCTACATTTTTTTTATGAAAAATTGTTCTTCTGGGAAGCCATTTAATACAACAAATGGCCAACATTTTCCTCTTTTTGTAGAGATCATAATGTATTTGAGAAGTTCTAATCTCTAAATTTTCCCTAAGAAATTACATGCAATCACTAATAATTTTTTAAGAGGTTTTTGGCTAACCTAACAACCAGCTAAATGGGTGGCAACAATGATGATAAAAAATGTAAATTTGCAATTAGATTTTATTCATAAAAGATAATAATAGGTACTATTATGCATTTTTTTTCAATGTTTGTGAGCCCAAATGAACTTAGATTCAATATATCTTGAACTTTTTAAGATGAAATCAACGTGATGCTCATTTTGATTATAATCACACAAATTTTGTAGTTCTTTTTCAAATAATTTTAACTTTTTTTTAAAAATTATACTATTAAGCAAACTCTTTGAGATCATTTGGACTTGAATCTGAATAATTTTAGTATTGCTAGATTCGTATCATCTCACATTGGTCTGTTGGTTGAGAGCTTAAGCTATCAACTAAAAGGTTTTGGGTTCGAGTATTTATATAAGCAATATGTGTGTGTGTCTGTCTTAATTGGACTAAATGTCCCAAAAAAAATAAAAAAATAAAAACCTTACTTTGACTAGCACCATTATTAAGGATCCATCATTTGTTTCTCAAAATCAATTTGGACTCATGCCGGGTAGGTCGACTATGGAAGCCATACATTTATTAAGAGGTTTGATGGAGAAATATAGAGAAAATAAGGAGGATCTACATATGATTTTTATTGATTTAGAAAAAGCATATGATAAAGTTCCAAGAGAAGTGCTATGGAGAGTTCTTGAAAAGAAAGGAGTCAAGCTTATATTCAAATCATTAAAGATATGTATGCAGGAGCTATTACTTGTGTTCAAACACAAGGTGG